TCTTTCCCCAAAATTGCCATGGTTGGGGGAAAAAGACCAATCACATCCATTCCTGATCCGGATACAGTCTGGTCCTGGCCCTCCTCCCGAGTCCCCCACACAGGCAAGGACCCCTGGCTGAAAGTGACAGCAAGAACACCACCACACCTGGTTTAGTTTCATGCTTTTATTCTAAGTCAGCAAGTCAGAGCATCAGTGCTGTCCAGATCTGAAATGGATGCCCCTGGCAGCCCCGGCCCTGCTCCCTCCCTCTCCTCCTCTCCATCCCCCAAGCTGGGCTGGTGACTGGAGGTCACAGACCTCTCACAGGGGCTGGTTCCTGGAAGGAGCTGTGGAAGGTAACTCCCTATCTGCCTCCTAAGATGTCAGTATCAGATGAGGTTTTGAGCCACCACCGTTTGCATTTTGATGGAGAGGCCATGGGAAAGGTCTTCACTGGCTAACTGGCAAAATGTGTTAGGGGAGGACTTCGAGGCACCATGACTCCGGCCTAGCAGGCAGCTGATGGTCCTAGGTCACAGGCCACAGGCTGGCTGGGATGAGAGCTGTCAGAAGGCGACTGGCTGCCTGGTTCCCACACTTGCCCTCAGGGGAGAGCTGACCCTGAGGCTATGGTCTAAAGGAAAGGAGTTGGGTCCCTCAAAGGATGACAAACAGCCTCAGGTTGGTCTACACAGGCTTCATGTGAAGGGCCCGAGGGCCCTGACTCCTGTGGGGCTGTGCTCAGAAATGTCTGGGTCAGGGAGAAGGGAGCATGCAGGAAGGGGCGCAGGGCAGCGGGGAGGGGAGCAGGCCACCAGGAGGGGTGGTAGGATGGCTTTCTGCCATTCACAACCTCTCAGGCAGCCTGAGCTGGGAAAGGACCCAGGCTGCCACCTCCGAGGACCACAGCCCCAAGCTGGACGCCCCCCAGGAAGAACCTGGTGGGCCCTGCCATGGTGAGGGGTGTCCATCAGGCTGCATCTGTGTGTGCCAGGCAGGAGGGATGGAGTGGGCAGTGCCAGGACTGGGAGAGTGAGGGAGCTGGATCCGTGGCAAGAATGAAAACCCAGAAAAGCCCACCCCAGGCTGCCCTGGAAGGGGCACAGTGGGTGTTCTGAGACCCTGCAAGCTCCTAGAGGTTGATGTTCTTCAAGTCCATGGAGCAGCGGTACCTGCCGTCCAGGAACCTGGAACACAGCAGGCTGGGTGAGCAAGGACAGGTGTGGTGCTGGCGTTTCCTGAAGAAAGGGATCTGCAGAGAGGAGAGACCGACACCTTCAGCAAGGGGAGGTGGACCTCCTGGCAGGAGCCCCTCTTCTGCCCAGCCTTGGCCAATGTCTCCCCTTCACCCCACCCTGCTCCGCTGCTCCTCCAAGCACAGCAATAATAGTGATTATAGATGGGGAAACAGAGGCACAAAGTGGTTAAGCAATGTGCCAAGATCACACAGCGAACTTACGGGGGAGCTAGGATTTGAATTCAGACTACCTAGTTTTCCAGGCCTAGCACACACATGTACTCAAGCAGGCACAAGTGTGCACACACATCTGTTGAGTGAATCCTTATTGGTCATCCATTGTGTGCTCAACCCATGGTGGGCACCTGGGCACAGCTGTGGACAGGACAGAGCCCGTCTCTGCCCTCTGTTCACACCCTGGAGAAGTGCTGCGTGGACAAGGTATCCTCAGGGAGTTGAAAGGACCAGCTAGGAGCATAGTCCAGGGTCAGACTGCCTGGGTTCTAACACCATATCCACCACTTCTCAGCTGTGTGACAGTCGGCAAGGTATTTAGCCTCTCTGTGCCTCAAATTTATTATCTGTAAAATAGGTTAATGAAAGCACTAATCACATACAGTTGTAAAGAGCTTGAATTACGTATTTACAAAAAGTGTTTGGAATGAAAAATGCTGTGTAGGGAGCAGTCAGGTTTTGTTTTGTTTTGTTTTGTTGTTGTTATAGGGTGCATGCACTTGCCAGTGAAAAACATGGAAAGAGAGAAGGAAAGGGTGAAATCCCGCAAAGGGGGATAGCCATGCCACAGACCTTCTCCATTCTCCTCCTGGGGTTGCAAGCATGCTGCACACGCCCCTGCCGTGTTTTCCAAGCTGCACCCCAGTCCGCCCCATGGGCCGCAGCTGCCTTAAGCTCCATGTCACAGGCTGGGGAACTCTCAGCATTTGTTTTTATTGCTGCTATTGACACCACCGGGAATGTGCTCTGCAGCCAAACCGCCTCACACTTTGAGAGGACCCCTGCTCTGCTCCGACCTGCCTCGCTCACTACCCCACCTCCTCATCCCAAGGGTGCCGGAGAAGGTGCAGACGAGCATCAGGCATCGGCCAGCATTGACCGGGGGAGGCCGAGATTGGACAAGAGACCTCCAGAGAGGTTCTGAGCCAGAGGAGAATCTGAGCCTGAGTGCAGGCAGCGGACAAGGAGCCTGAAAGTCTCCTGGATGGGGAGTGTGTCGGGGGTGGGGGGGATGATGGGAAACCTAAGCCTCCGGCAGGGCCCACCCCCAGCCCTGACCCTGCAGAAACAAAGGACTTGTGGGCCTAATAGGCCCTCTGGGCTGAGAGCCAGAACGAGAGTCTTAGGGTGCAAAAGGGTGAGCAGAGCGCCTCCTTAAGTATGTGCCCTAGGCACCTTGCTCATCTCCCCAGTTCTGACTCTGTGTGGGAGCCATTTTTCAGGTCACATTTAATGTTCTTCAAAGGAGGTTTCTCCCAAGCAAAGGGTATTTGGAACCCTTTCCCTAATGTGGCAGTTTGTGCCCCCTTCCCCACCCCCACCCCACTGTATACTGAGGCCCAGAGCAGTGAAGCTAATGATCCAAAACCACACAGCAAGTGCTAGAAGGCTGTTGTGGGCAATGTCAGACCCCGTACAAATGCATTATCCACAGGCCACTAAGGAGGGTGGGTGCCTGATGCAGTAGCACCCCCAGGGCTGGCTGCTTCCCCCCAGGTATTGGGACTGGATCAGCTGTGGGAAAAGGTGGGCTGCCCTCCCCGACACCATCCTCCCTGGTCTGGGCCAGGGCAAGGCCCCAGTACCTGGCACCTGCTCAACCCACGGTGCACCCCACCACAAGCACCCAGTGGTGCCACCCAGTACCTTGTGGCTGGCGGGGGGGCACCTCTCTT